TTGCATTCAGTAAGTCTACCCTGAGCAATAATTAGAGTACAAAATACTATTTTTTTAGAATAAAAATACTGTAAAATTTCACCAGGCCCATATGCTTTTATCATTCCTACTGGCTGATTGCTTGCTTATTTTGTTCTAAGTATACTGGCTGAGTACTTACCTGCATGGTGCAGTAAAGTACACCAGAGAAGTGTGATTTGTGAACAGCTGACATGTAACTTTCCAACTGCCCTATAAAGACCCTGTAAGAATACTCTAAAAAAGGTGTCCAGTTTGCTGAACCAAAGTAATTGGTTCATGCCACCAGGGTCCACACAGGGCAGTTAGAGAGCAAAACATCAACATGCTTTACAATCATACCTCCCCAGAGTGCTTCGCCAGTGCTGTGTAGATATTTTGAGCATTTAGCACTGATGTTAAATGTAATTTTCATTATTAGTGCAGCTGGAATGCTGATAAGATGAATAAAAAGACAGCCATGTGTTCTAAATGGTAGCATGCTTTTGTCTCCCTTAATTCTCGTAGAAGTGGATTTAGTGCTGGGAGAGAATTACGTGTGCTTATTTGTTTTACAGAAACAGGAACACAATTACATTCAACCAATAACTGGTCCCATATTAAATGTTTGTCTTATAAATGTTTTGTTTGTTGAAAGTAACTTGTTCTAGCTAATAAACAAAGTTGACTCCCTATACTTTCATTACAAAAAAAAACCCCATCTTCCTCATCTGTAACAGTAGTGTGCACTTTTGTTTCTCCTGAAAATCCAGGTTTCCAAAAATAATTTATATTTTTATATCTAAATTATGCACTTTTATAGCCTACGAGTCAATATCGTCCCCAGGCAAGGTGTTTATTTAAACCAAATGCTGCATATATGTTATTACACAAATCACAGGGCTGCTTTAAGGTGAATGGGCATACTGCCCCTTTAAACGGGTGGGAGTAAGGTTACACACATCACACAAGTTTATGCATTTTGACCAGGGACTAATCTTTAGTGATCTGAGCATTTAAAAATCCTTCCCTCCCTCATCCAGAGAAAAGCCTTTTCCTCAACTTCATTTGTATAAACCAAATTATTCCTTTGTGGGAAAAGAGCAGGCTTGGGAAGCCTTAGGAACCTAAATTAATTCAATGCAGCTTCCTTTAGGACAAACTGTGACACCCTTACTCATGCTTAGTACCTCCAAGGGAAGGGAAAATGCCTCCACTGAATATAAAGTAGTTACCTCGGATAGAAAACCCTGAACCTTGAGGAACTGCCTTAGTGAGTTACCTATTTCCATCCAAGGAGGGCTCCACTGCCTACCAGTTCTGTATCAAGTATGGTGTGAAGGGTGAGCAACATTTCTTCAGCTGTGGAATAACTCAGGTGTCTGAAAATACTTATGATCTTTACCACATAACAATTTTCAGTGGAGGTGTAAAATTGGGTTCTGATTATAAGACTAGGTTTTAGTAGTCTTGAGTCACCTTTGGTTCACAGTCTCCCTCCCACTTCCTCCCCAACATTTTATATTTTTTGCCTTATAACTGGCTGCATGGATATATCAGAGGTAGGTCCCTGTAATCCAGCAACATTTAAATGTACTATGCATCTCTGTCATGCAATACTTCCTAAGGTAACCTTTTTCTCTTTAGCAACCTGTAGATTTATTTAAAATACACACACACACACACACCCGCCGCCAAAACTGTAGTGAATGTTATGCCTGCTTTTCTTTCCATTGTAGTGATCCTTGAGACTATCTGACAAACTTCTACTATGGCACTCAGTTTCAATATTAGACGAAAGGTAATACACAGATGTCTAGGAAGGAGTACTATAGAAAGGAATCTAGAGGTCATAGTTGACCACAAGCTAAATAAGTCAACAGTATGATGCTGTTGCAAAAAATCAAACATGATTCTAGGATACATTAACAGGAGTGCTGTGAGCAAGACAAGAGAGGTAATTTTTCCACTCTATTCTGCAATGATTAGGCCTCAGCTGGAGTATTGTGTCCAGTTCTGTGTGCCACTTTTCAAGAATCAGAGGAGTAGCTGTGTTAATCTGAATCTGCAAAAGCGGCGAGGAGTCCTGTGGCACTTTATAGAGTAACTGAAGTGTTGGAGCATAAGCTTTCGTGGGCAAAGACCCACTTCGTCAGATGCATTTTTCACCACTTTTCAAGAAAGATGTGGAAAAACTGGAGAAGGTAAAGAGAAGAGCAACAAGAATGGTTAAAGGTCTAGAAAACTGAACCTATGAGGGAGGACTGAAAGAATTGTGCTTGTTTAGTTTAGAAAAGAGAAGACAGAAAGGACATGATAGCAGTTTTCAAGTATCTAAGGGTATGTCTACACTACCACCCTAGTTCGAACTAGGGTGGTTAATGTAGGCAACCGAAGTTGCAAATGAAGCCCGGGATTTGAATTTCCCGGGCTTCATTTGCATCTTGCCAGGCGCTGCCATTTTTAAATGCCGGCTAGTTCGGACTCCGTGCCCGCGGCTACACGCGACACAGACTAGGTAGTTCGAATTAAAGCTCCTAATTCGAACTACCGTTATTCCTCCTGCAAAGAGGTTTAACCCTCACTGGGTGAGGGTCAGTGACTGCTGGCTCAGTGCTGGCAGGCCTGTCGGAAATTCAAATCCCAGGCTTCATTTGCAACTTTGGTTGCCTACATTAACCACCCTAGTTCAAACTAGGGTGGTAGTGTAGACATACCCTAAAAGTGTGTTACAAGGAAGAGGGAGAAAAATTGTTCTCCTTGGCTTCTGATGACAGGACAAGCAGCAGTGGGCTTAAATTGCAGTGAGGGAGCTTAAGGTTGCACATTAGGGGTATGTCTATACTGCATCCCTCTGTCGGCAGAGGGATGCAGATTAGGCAGGTCAACATTGCAAATGAGGCAGGGATTTAAATATCCTCTGCCTAATTTGCATTAAAATGGCTGTCGCATTTTGCTGACTCGGCACTTTGTCAGCAAAAAGCCGCAGTCTAGTGGGTGATCTGTCGAGAAAGAAAGCCTTTTTCAACAGATCCTGTAAACCTCCTTGCAGGAGGCATAAGGGATCTGTCGAAAAAGGCTTTCTTTCTCAACAGATCCCCCTCTAGACTACCGCTTTTTGCCAATAAAATGCTGCGTCTGCAAAATGTGCAGCCATTTTTATGCAATTAGGCACAGGATATTTAAATCCCTGCCTCATTTGCAATGGCGATCTGCCTAATCTGCATCCCTCTGCCAACAGAGGGATGCAGTCTACACATACCCTAGTAAACACTTCCAGTCAGTGTGGTTAAACACTGGAATAAATTGCCTAGGAAGGTCATGGAATCTCCATTACTGGAGATATTTAAGAAGAAGTTGGCTAGACATCTATCAAGGATGATCTAGATGATACTTGGTCTTGCTGTGAGGGCAGGAAACTGGACTCAATGACCTATCGAGATCCCTTCCAGTTCTAGTATTCTATTATTCTATGTGTAATGCTCCTCTCTAATTGAAAAATGTTTAATCAGATCGATGCAAATTATGTTCTGTAATCTAATACTAATTTTTCTTGGTATCCTTCCCTATTAATGATCCTCAAGAAGAATTTGAGCATCATAGTAGATGTGACTTGTGATGTAAACACCACTTGCAGTCATTTAGGCACATCTACAGTGCATGCTTATTTCAGAATAAGCTATTTTTGGGAAAATACTCCAAAATAGCTTATTTCGAAATAGCACATCTGTACAGCAAATGCCCATTGAAATAGTGTGGAGCTATTTTGAACTAGAGCGTCCATGCTCATTGGAGGCTGAATTGTATGTAAGACCACCCAGAAGCACTTCAGGAAGGGCATCAGGTCAGCACACTCTTCCTGGAGCTGCTGCCTGAGGTTATCTGAGGCTCAAACTTAAAGGGACTCCCTGTACAACCATGTCTCAGGTTCTTCTCCTTTGCCTACCTCCTAGTGGGACAGCAAAGCCTTTTCTCCGCCTGCTGTGGTTGCCCTCGCAGACATTTCAGCTCCCTAGACATGGAGCTGGACCTGCCTCCCAGCAGTCAACAGCTCTTGTACATCTTAGTGTACCTCTTCAGTCTGCCTTCCAGGCCCTGCAGGAACAGGACCCCCAGGTCATTGCGGGGTACCTCCTCTGTGCTCTCTGGGCACTGCTCATGTAGCTTGACCCCACCTGCCCTCCCCTGCACATCATGCACCACCACTACTTGTGACTGGACACCAGCTCCAACTGGTGGGACCAGATCATCCTGGAGTGGTGGGATGACCAGCAGTGGCTCCAGAATTTCCACATGCAAAAGGACACTTTTCTGGAGCTGTGTCAGTGGCTCAGCCCTGCCCTCAGGCGACAGGACACCCAGACACCCCCCTCCAGATGCATGTCACCATTGCCATCTGGAAGCTGACCACGCCAGACAGCTACCAATCTGTGAGGAACCAGTTCGATGTTGGAAGATCAACCATCGGGGCCATGGTCATGCAGGCATGGCGCTCTCATGCTAATGTTCCAGCTGGACCTCAATGAGTAGAACTTCTTCCAGGTGGTGATGGCATTCTGTTTTCACAAAGGTTGTGGAGGACACAAGGGGGAGACGTTCCTGTCAAGGTGGGGGTGGGGGCGGGAGGGGCAGAGATTGACCAGATTGGTAGGGGCTTTGAGCAGCCGTGCACAGCTGCTATCTGGCAGGCCCATCAGGGGACTGTGCAAATCCATGAGGTCCTGAAGGAGAGTTTCACCAAGGACCCCAGTAACACTCTCCCTCCACAAGAGGCCTGTGCAATGCCCTTCTTTGCCTTTCCTCCCTTAATCCTCCCTTCCTCTGCCCTCTTTTTCTCCCCTCCCCTGCACAGACAATAAAGTACACTTTTGCTTAGAATCAATAACAATTTTTTATTGAGGTAAATATAATTGGGGAGGTTTTGGGGAAAGAAGGGAGGTGGAAGAGGGAGGAGGGAGAAGGGAGAGGAGAGGCTCACAGTTGGGGCTGGGAGTAGTGCCTGCATTGGGTAGTGCCACTGCCTCATGTTCAGGGTCCTCAGTGGCCATGGAGGAGGGTTGTGGGGGAAGCTAGAGGGGTGGGAGCCAGCATGGGAGTAGCCACCAGGTGGTTGATGACCATATGGAAGGCTGTACAGATGGATTGACCCTGCTGCAGCAGCTCTCACCAGGTGTTGTGGTGCAGCTGGAGGTGGTCCTCTAGTCTCCAGTCCTGCTGATCCATGGAGCACTGCAGGGCTCACAGGGCAGCCATATGCTCCTGCTGGAGGTCCTCATGGGCTCTCCAGCACAGGCGGATCACGACGATGACACAGGAGACAGCAATCACTCCTTTCTTGCTGTGGAGAACAAAGAGAAGGGCAGTCATGCCAGAGACACCATGCATGAAGCCTTGCACTCATCTCTGAGCTGAGACCAAAATGTCTTGGGTCAGACATAGGTGATGTGCTTCGAGCAAGGCCACCTGAGGCCTAGACAGTGGGCCCTTTCCTTCAGGGATACAGATGTCCAAGAGGCAAGTCTCATTACCCCCTTTTCCCAGGAACAAGCAGTCATGGGAAAGTGCCGGCCAGACTGGGAGCCTGTGGGTGGGAGGGGGGCCACGGGGCAGCTGGGCATCCCTCCATGCCATGCACATGCCAGGTCCACCAGTGATGCTGTCCCACAGGGAGAGGGCTTAAATCCCTGGCTGCAGAAGGAGAGTGGGGCAGCATGTTGGCAGAAGGAATGTGTGTGTGAGAGAGAGATGCTTCTCCACCTTGCATGCTGTCCCCAGGAGTGGATATGCCCATGTGCAGGACTCCTGAGTGTGTCTCCATGTCCCCAGTCTACTTCTAGTGAGGGTGTCCCACTTCGGTGTCAGGAGTAAGACAGGCCTCTCTAGACACCCTGTGTGCCAGAGCACAAGGGTCCTTTGTTGCTGCCGGCTAGGGCTGTGTCCCCCACACTAGTGCTCCACATGCACCCACGTGCACAGGCTGCTACATGATCCCCAGCTGAGAAGGCCAAGTGAGAAGCACGCAACTGCCCCTTGCCAGTCTCCTCCACCTGTGCCTGTATCCAGACAGAGAACCTGAGCATGGATGCCTCTACCCAGGTCCTGGTGTGGTCTTGCTGTATTTGTGGCTTGCAATTCCCACTGAGTGATCTCCAGGCTGGGGGAGACAACCGTTGTGAAAGGTGCCTGCTGGTGGAATCTCTCAGGCAGCAGGTGGGAGAGCTACAGGAGGAGGTGGCCAGGCTGAGGAGCATTCGAAGCCATGAGGAATTCCTGGACAGTATTCCTGTGGAGTCCACGGAGGTCACTGTCCTAGGATGTGG